TAAAACGTTTACTTCTCGTATGAATTGCGAGCTTTAGCAGATAACTGTCAAAATAGATAGAGGGACAGCGGAGAAAGGAGCGCAAATTTCGCCATTTTCGTAGTTATGGGCATTAATTTGGGGTAGCTGAATAAATTACTGACAGAAAGGTTCTGATTTCGAAAATATCCATTCAAACAAATGAAAAATAAATAACCTCGGGATACCGTACACAACGCTTGCTCGTCGTGTCCCGAGTCGGCCGCACCGGATATCTCTAACAGCAGCGTCCAGATCTGCTTGGCTGTAGTTTCGTTTGTTCATTGAGGGCTGAACAGCTGCTGTTACTGGCCCAGCAACCACTTTCTTTGTCCCACCCATTACCAAATCGTTCCTTTCTTCCCTGCAGCTCTGACTTTATTATTTTTAAAATTACGAGCCATAGAATTTGTTCTCTGGGACTCTAACAGCTCTCTCCATATCTACTGATTATTTTGAGACGAAATATCAGGATACAACGGCTTTGGCCACAGCCTATGTTAAAGAAACATTTTTTTTGAAATACCTGCAGAAGCAAACGGCGTAATCACCTGAATTAATCTGATTTTTTTCTATAACTACAACTTTTAGGTGCCTTTTCAAATCCCGCAATGCCGCATTAAACACACTCACAAACTCCCTCATTATTATTGCTATTACATTTGCTAATATACTGCGAAAACATATGCGTTACTAGGGATCGAGACATACGGAGTCGGGTTTTGTGCCTTGTTCGCAAGGACTTTTAGTGACGTCCTTTGTCGCTTGCCATCACGGGATTTGAGCACAGAGGATGCGGCAGATTGCGTTGCTGCCTGTAGTGCTCGTCTGCTGCTGAGATCCAGTGGCTGTTCCTCCTCCTCTTCCTCTTCATAAATTCCATCGTCAGTTTTTCCTTTCCCATAAATCGCTGCCAGTCGTTTTGCCAATGACTCGCTGTTGAACGACGAATTTGGGAGACCTTCAACAAACACCATACTGTAGTTTGCCCTACTGTCTTAAGCCACCCACTGGTTCATTCTATCAGAATGTAACTGCAAAATAATGCTGCCAATTCCAGGAGTCAGAGAGGGAAAGAATCAATAAAGGACTTAATAAAGCCATTTTTTGGTACTTTTCGGAGATCGGCGGAAACAGAAGGAAATTTTATTGCTAGGTGTCCTTTTTTAAACTAAAGTTACCAAACAAAAAGGCTTTGCTCAAAAAAATCTTTTAATCTCTGAAAAACTGCAGATACGGTTTTTCAAGAAGGTGAATGATGAAACATGGATCAGAAGAGTCGAAAAGGCGAGAGAGAAGACAAAGTGGTTTCGACTTTCTCTTGTGCTTTGTGTTCTTGAGATTGCGGACCTGAAATAAAAGCGATGGATGACTTTACCTGCGCATAAGCTAGAAGGATTGCTGTCAGTACAATAATGAGTTATTTGCTTTTCATCGTCAGATTTTGTTGATACAGAAGGAAATGCAGGCTGATTTTGATGACTGAAATCTGAGTCACCGTTTTCTTTTCCATGCATAATGCTGCCAGCACCACTGTTTCCTTTTGGCGATAATAAATATTGTTGCTCACTAAGCGGACGATGCAGATTTTCTAAAATTTTAGGATACACAACGGTGGGATAACTTAGAAAAACAAAGAGGAAGGTGTTTTGTTACGAGAGGTACATCCTAGATTTTGGTCACTGCAAACTTTTATCATTTGAAGATAATCGATTTGGTGTAAAAATTGGTATATGTTTTTTTTTTTTTTATCACAGCAACAATTAAAGTTTTTCCAGCTGTTTTTGCATTTATTAAATTGCAAATGATTTTGTCGAATTTATAGCGATTAAATACCAAGACAACCCAGGCAATCAGTGTGGTATGCTGTAATAGTGGAGTTACCGGGATGCTCCTACACGGAAAGCGCAGCTATGCCGGTTTCTTTGATTTTGGGCTGCATATCTCTAGTTAGTACTCACAGCCTGTTCCATTTATGTGCGCTACCTTTTCGGGGACCGCTGAAATGGCCATTTGCTTGCTCGTGTGTATTACTCACCAATAAACAACTTCTATCGGTTGTTGGCAAGGCGATATCTCTGCCTATGGGATTCTACTTTCCTGCGCGTTAATAGTGGCATGCACGTCGCTCGTTTGACGAAAAGTTTGATTGTTTTTACGGTCGCTGAGAGACACTCAAAATATTTTTCTCTTTACTGTTGCCTTCGTTACAACTAGCCCTCGCTTTTCCACTTCCGTCAATAATCATGTTTCCCATCCGCTCGTCACTGCCTTCAACGCAGTGGTATTGAAGGTACGGGCACTGTCCCTGCGATACGGCACTTTGAGGAAACAGGCGATTTTGTTGAATCTGCACGAAATGGGAGCCCTTCGAGTGCAATCTCCAGCCAGAGACTGGCGCATATTTCATGCGCAGGATAGACATAGCGTCAACTTCTTCCGAACGCTAAATAAAATATATTTTTGTGTTGGAAATGGACTTGTTAGTAGTGCGTTGCTTTCTCAGTAAAATTTCCAAAAAATGTTTTTCGAGATGATTTTTGGTACATCTTTGTCACGAATTAATATGCTGTTGGCACGAAAACAAATGAAAAACTTATATTAGTTAGGACGAATTTTATGTATACGCTAAACTCGTTTTTCATTTTGCCTGGATTCATGTACATTCTTCTCGTGAAAAACAAAATCGTAAAATTATCAAGAAGCATGCGAATACGATGCTACTGAAGTTTTTGCGATGCACCCACGCATTATACGCAGTTTTGCTTGGATCTTCGCCTGTGCGATGAATGCGAGCCAACTTTCTGAAAACTGCCCAGGTGGTCGCTTTCCTTCTCACACTCACTGTTATACGACGCGCGGTGTTTGTCAGCAAAACAAGCATGCAAGTCCGGCTTATCGCGTTTTATCCTCTGTGGTAGCAGCAACGAAAACCTCCACGCCGTTCATCTGAACGGGATTTTGACTGATCATTTAGGTGCATTCCAGCATCCAAATGCGTTAGATTAGGTAAAATTGCTCTGGAACCCTGCTAAAAATGCGGTGTGCAACAATAATTCAGAGCAAACCAAGGTTCTTCGCAAAATGAAATTTGCGCAAGTTCATTAAGACTTTAAAGAGTGACAAGCTGGAGTTACCTGGAGAGCGCTGAGAACTGAACTGTTGTTGTAGCAAGCCCGATGCACTCCACTGTAGAAAACTTTGAAAGTATAGCTGATTCGCCATTTCAGCTAAATTTATGTTGAGAAAATGAAAAGCTTAGTTCGTAAGTAATGCTTATTTCGAATAATACTGAACTGTTTCTCTGCGTAGCCCGTCTCTGCTAAGGGGTGGGAGACCCATAAGTATGTTTCGCATATATTGATTTTAAAAAATTAGCAGCAGTTTATTGGAAAATTTATGCCATTTCTCTTTTCATAGGCAATCCATTAAATCACCAATACCCACCAGGGCTAAAGGATGCAAAGCCACCGGGTAAAGCAACAGCTTAAGATTTTTGAGTTATTAAAGATTTTTTTATGAGATATGCGCCCTAACGGTTTTTTTTTTTAGTATGTACTGGTATGACTGGGATAAATGACTTTTGCCCAATGTTTCCAGCCGCCACTCTGGATTTTCCAGCTCGAGCTCTAACCAAATCTTAAAGCAGCCATTTCCAGAAGTACCACCTGCTGCCCTGTTTTAGTCATCGATTTCATCTATTACTATGCGTTTCTGCTAACTTATGCAAATGAAAAAAAGCATGTTGACAAAAGATTCTCTGTGTTTGTTGTGTGACCTTTATTACCCACTTTAGTCTCAGGAACCAGAAGCTGGGGGAAAAAAACTTTTGAAACATGTTCTCGCTCCATACACGACCTTTCTGTTTTAATATTATCATTCAGGTACATTTGTGTCTCACATGCGGATGCCTAAAAGAAAACATTTTAAT